ATCCACTGCAAACTGCAGTATACACATACAATGAAATATGATTCAGCCTCTAAAAGGAAGGAAATTCTGACACATGCTACAACATGGAAAAACCTTTAGGATATTACACTAAGTGAAATAAGCCCGTCACAAAAAGACAAATACTATGATTCCACTTATATGAGGTACTCAGAGTAGTCAAAATCAGAGACAGAAAGTAGAATGGTGGTTGCCAGGGCTTGGGAGAGGGGGAATAGGCAGTTACTCTTTGATGGTGCTGAGTTTCAGTTTTATAAGATGAAAAGAGTTACGGAGATAAACGGTGTGATAGTTGTGCAACATTACAAATGTATTTAATGTGACTGAACCGTACACTTAAAAGTGGTTAAGATGATAAGTTTTATGCATATTTTACCAAAATAAAAAATAATTTTTTTTAAAAAAGGAATGAAGTACTGAGACATGTCACGACATGGATGAGCCTGACAGAAGACGACACATTGTAAGATGCCATTTACGTGAAATGTCCAGAGTAGGCAGATCCGCAGAGACAGAAAGCAGACTGCAGTTGCCTACGCTGAGGTGGGGGAAGTGACTGCTCAGGGGCACAGGGTTTCTTCTTTGGATACTGAAAACGTTCTAAAATTAGATTATGGTGATCGTTGCATAACCCTGTAGATACACGAATAACCATTACTTTAAATGGGTAAACTTTATGGCATGTAAATTACACCTCAATAAAGCTGTTAAAAAACACACACAGGCACATTGTTAATATTAATACAGATAATATCAAATTGTTTTCCAGAAAGATTGTACCAGTTGACACCCTGTGTGTGCATTTTTTCAGAGTGATTACAAAGCAGCACGTGACTACTAAATATGGAGTCTATATTTAGATGGTATTTATCTTTTCAAACAGAGTCTGAACAAAATTGATTCATTCAACAAATATTTGTCATGTCTCTACTAGGTGTCAGACATGGTTCTAGATGCTAAAGATGCAATGCAGAACGAACCAGACCTGCTCCCTGCCCTGGTGATGGGGCACACTGTCCCCAAACCTCGCTGCCCCAGGGTACCCCATCAAAGGTCAGCCCTCCTACCACCATCGAGCCTTCACCACAAATTTCATTCCACCATCCTCTTTCCCAGCCTTCTACAGAAAGTCCATGAAGGCACTCTTTGCCCAAGAGAGTGCAAACTGTGTTTACAGGAAAACATTTCTCTTTGGTCTGCTCCTAACTAGACAGCAAGCACTTAATGGCCTCGTGCTGGAGGAAACCACGGACGAACAAGCCTGGGCCAGGCCCCAGGAAACTCACAGTTGGGGAGAAGCAGACGCCTAGGCGTAAAAGCAAAGGGATGGACCCAGCATTGCAGGCACAGAGGGTTCTGTCCAGGGCAGGAAGCATGGTGGTATAACAACAGTATAACAAACCCTGCCAACATTTAATGCGCTCCCCAGTACGTGCCAGGCACTTCATATACACAATCTCACTTCGTCCACACGGCCACCCAATAAAATAGATATTATCATCAAAGAGAAACTGAAGCTCAGAAGGGTTAAATGAATCACTCAAAGCAACACATCTAATAACTGGCTGAACCAGGATTCATATCCACTCATCCTGACTACAAAGCCCAGGTTTTTTCATACCACTAGGCAGGACTTAATAAAGGGCCTTCCTTTGGGTAAAGTCCCTGGGGTCAGAATCTGAGCCTCAATTCCTCAGGGCTGGAGCTGCGTGGGGTGCCCGTAGGTGATCAGGTTTGGAGGGAATGAAATACATTGACCTTGAACAAGCCTAAGGACAAACTGGACTCCAGGTTAGTCTTTAAAACTGGGGCTTGGAAATTATTACATCAAGCAGAAGAGTGCTCAGAAGGTACTATTAATATACTAGAATAAAAAAGGGTGATATTACTCTAGGGATCTTTCTCTTCCATCGTGACCACCTAATGGAGAACCTGTCTCTCTCAGGATATTTCTGCCACTCCTTAAGGGCCAGTTCAAATGAGTGCCAGGAGCTCTGTAAAATCTTTCCAGAATCCTCTCAGTCAGAATTGATTCAGAGAACCAGTTGGAGGGCAAGACAGGGTACTGACAGCCAGGCTTTGGAGTCAGCGAGCCTGGATTTAAATCCTGACTCAGTTGCGTTGTTTGTGTGATCCCAGACCATTTGCTTCACCTCTCTGAGCTTCAGAGTCCCCTGTAGAAAAGGAGACAATATCGCCTCAAAGGATCATTGTTTATTCAGTGATTTAACAAATATTCACTGAGCCCCTATTATGTGGCAGATACCAGGTTAGGAACTGGCGTTACAAAAGATGAACAAAATGCAGTCCCTGCTCTCAAGTGGGTCACAGTGTGGGACAGTTAACAGTCAACACCTGCAATGTCCAGCACAGGAGGCATCAGCCACATGCACTTATTAAGCACTTGAAATGTGGTTAGTCCAAATTGAGAAGAGCTCTAAGTATATTAATACCAGATTTCAAAGACTTAGTAAGATAAAAAAGAACGTAAAATACTCATTAATAATTTTTTCTACTGATTATAAGTTAGAATGATAATATATGGAAATATTAGGTTAAATAAAATATATTATTAATTTAACCTGTTTCTTTTTAATGTTTTTAAAGTGGCTACTAGAAAATTTTAAATTTCATATATGGCTTACATTGTATTCCCATTGGACAATTTTATTGGTTAATAAAATTCAGTAAGGTCAAGGACTGAGACAGGGTCAGTGATGAGTCGGGGGGTGGCTAGAAAAGTAGAGGGCCAGGTGGGGATGGGGAAATGTCAGTGAAGGCTTTCTGGCAGGGACACCCAAATTGAGACCTGAAAAATAATAGGCATTAATAACACAAAGGGGACAAGGGAAGGCAATCCAGTCAGCAGAACAGAAAGTGCACAACCCCAGCAGTGAGAAAGAACAAGGTAAGAGCATTCATGACAGAGTTTGTTAACCTGGCCTAGGGAGGAGACAGGGTTGGGAGAGTAAGAAGAGACGAGATGAGAGACGTAGCCAGGACCAGATTATGAAGGACCCTGGAAGCCATATAAAAGAACTTCATCCTGGGGATGATAAACCAGGGAGGGTCTAAAGCAGGTGAGCAGGGATTAGCTACCAGGAATGTATGCAGTGCCTAATTCCTGCAAAGGGAGGGAGAGGAGGAATGAAAAATATTTGCTGCTCTGTTGAGTAGCTACTCTGGGTCAGACAATGAGTGGGCTTAACTCCTTTAGACTTATTTTAATCTTTATGCCAAACCTAGGCTTTATACCAACCCATTTTACAGATGATAGAAACTGAGTCTCACAGAGGATGTATGGCTTACCCAAGGTCACAGGGTTGTTAAGTGCAGAATTGTAATTGAAACCCAGGTAGGTCTGGGTCCCCAAAGCCCAAGTATTTGGCCAACAAGCACTGAAGTGAAAAGAGCTGAGAGAATAATGGATTTTATCTGAATGGCAATAGGAAATATTGGAAGTGTAAAGCAGCAGACTGTGAAGATTAGATTTACATTTTAAAAGGAGTTTTCAAACTGTAATATAATAACTATTAGAGGTGTGAAGAAGCCAGGACAATCCAAGTGAGAGGCCATATCCCACTATACTGGGGCAGTGGAAGAAGCATGGATAGAAAGGGGCGTGATGACTATCATAGGATCCAATTAGGCAGGAACTGCAAAGGGTCTTGGTCTGTGCCTGATACATAGTAGGTTCTCAATAAACAGAATAACCTTTACTCCAAGTTTACCCAAGATAGGACCTGTTTATGCCTGCTGCCCAGGCATAAATATTAATTGTGCCTATTTCACTCTTAAAAGCGTGCCACTTGGCACAATAAACACTATGGTCACCCTTTCAATTAGGGTGTGCTGACTAAAAGCAGCAGCCTGTCCCTTGCAGAGCGGGATAAACACTGCGGATTCTCGTTCAGGGCTCTCCTCTTCTTCCTTCTACCCACTCTCCAACCAGGAGCCCAGGACAACCCCAGGGGCCCAGTCATGGAGCAGTCTAGGGCTCCACCAGGCCCTCCTACCAAAGGAGAGACCCCAGCCCCACCAGCAATGGGGCCCCCACCTGCCTCTTGGGGCAGATCCAATGGGAGGTCATTATTCCCTGATTTGTATCACTACTGATGATAGTAGTAATAATAATAACAATAACAATCATGGCAACACAGGATCATTCTTCAAGCACTTATTATGTGCCAGGCACTACACTTGCCAAGCTAATTGCTGGGCAAGCATCACCTCTTTTAATCCTCCCCCCAATTCTGTCAGGTGGATATTACTGCTAGTCCATTTTACACATGGGAAAGTAGGTTAAGTTACTTTATCAAAGTAACACAGTCAATTCACAGGGCTGGATTTGAATTCAATTCTGTCCAACTCCAGCCAAGGTTCTTAACCACTGCATTCCATTGCCTCCTTCCTGGGTGGCCACTGTGTGACTTCGAAAGCAAAGTCTGTACTTACTGACTACATTCTCCATGATGAAAGCAAATCCCCCAAACCAGAATGAACCATCAAGAGCCCTCAAGGTCCCTGCCCCCCAAACAGTCCCCACCAGGGGAATATTCGAAGTGCACCCCCTATTCCCACTCTTTCAGAAAACCCCTTACCTGTCCTTCAAACCCTCTTCAAAGTATGTCCCAAAATGCTAGATGCTCGTGATGTAGATTGGGACTCCCAGCCCCCCACACTCAGGCCCCCCAGAGGCCCTCCCTGAAGTAACCCCCCACACATACTGCCCCTGGCCAGTGACCCTCAAGCAACCTCAAGAGAAAGGCCCAAGGCCCCGTTAGAGCGAACCCGCATCAGCGGGAACCCGGGCCCGGTTACCGCGAACCCCAAATGCCCGGGCCGCACCTGCAGCCGCTGAGCGTCCCAGGGAGGGTGACGTCCTCTTCCAAAACCGAGTCCATCATGGACATGGAGGCGGTGGTAGCTTTGGTGTCTGTGGTGGCGTGGCGCCACGGGTAACCCCCGCTGTAGCGACCCGCCCGGCTCCCAGGTCCCCGCCCCCTCTAACCCAGCTCTTGTTCGGACTCCGGCGGCGCCGCTGGAATTCAAACCGCAGCCGCCGCCATCTTTCCCGGCGCTTCTTCCTACGGAAACGAGGCGGGGCCACCGCGGCGCGCGCGGTGAAGCTGACCTGCCGGGGCCAGAGGCCTGGCAGGGAAGCGGAGGCGGGCGCCATCTTAACTAAGGGCATTGCATCTGAGCTTGGGCCAGCAAGACCAAGGAAAGAGAGGCCGGCTGCCATGTTTCGTGAGGGCACTCAAGCCGAGGCTGGGGCGAGCGCCATCTTTGTTGTGGGCGAAAGCGGTCGTAGTCCGTTAATTTAAGCGGGAGATGGGAATACGGTCCCGGACCTTCAGAGTTCCTAACGCAGTGTTTGGTTTTTTAGAGTAATGACCCCAAAACCTTGTGTTGGGGGTCTGTGCATCCAAAAAGCCTCTTCCGCTTTGAGTTGAAACTCAGATAATCGGATGCTTTAGAAAAATCCTACATGCAGAATCTTAACGCAAGCAGTAATTTGCAGACTTAGTTTGAAGCAAATAACTCATCCCTATGAGCCAAGTGGTCAGTACACTCCCACTCCGATCTCTCACCTTTATTACCGTTAGGGCTCAAACGCACCTGCGATCAGTAGACGGAGGCCCAGAGAGAGGAAATGACTCTCCCAAAGTAATACTGTGAGTATTAACAGTAAGTTTGTCAACTGGAGCCAGATCCGCGGCTCCTGCCAACTAGGCTCTCTCCAAAACCCTGGCTGCCTTTCTTAAAGCACACAGCAATCACTAAACACCTACATAATTTTGGCAGAGTTTAAGCAGTGAAATCAACCTTCCTCTCCCCTTCTCCGTGTTGCTTCCTCCTCTGCAGGCCTTTGGAAGAGCCCTGGATAAAAATAAGGGGGGTGGATGGGTAGATGGTGACTTTCCCAGTAATCACGAACAAATCCCCTCTCAGCCTCAGTTTCCTCATTCTTCAATTAAGTAATCAATTACTTTCCAAAAGAGGTCTTTCCTGATCCTCTAATCTAAATCAAATCACTTCTTGCATTCTTAGCAACTCGTATTCCTCGTTTGTAGCACTTACCACATTTTGCAATTGTATATATCTGGTTTTTTTAATGTCTTCCTCTTGCACTGGACTGGAAGCTCCATGAAGGTAGGCACTCTGTTCTGAATTGTTAACTGTTACATCCTCAACACCTAGCACTATGCCTGCCACTGGCAAGTATTTGAAAATACATGTTAAATAAATGAATGACTCAGTCAGTCAGTCAATCTGGAAAATGGAGCTAATATCTATCCTGCAAGGTTTGGGGGAGGATAACCTGAGATATAGGAGCTCAATCAATAGTAATTCCATACATCCCATATTCATCCCCCCCTCCATTTAGTGAAGCTTACAAAGCCCGTGATTCTGCACCTGTCCCTCTTCCTTCCCCAGATCTTCAAGCATCCCTAGAATCAGCAGTGGGATAACAGCCTGAAAGAGAAAGAGGGCTTGGCAGTCCTTAAAGCCCTGGAACCGATACTCCTTGCCAGTGCTAAGTTCAACCCCTGAGATGAGTGTATCCAAAAGCAGGGAAGCTGGGGTGGCAAGATTCCCACCCTGGCTCTGCCAACGACTCTGTGATCTTTGGCACACTACTTCTGCTCTCTAAACCTCAGTTTATACATCTGTTAAATGAGAGGAACGGACCTCTCAGGACCTTTCAGAACGTTACAGCTCTGGAGGTGATTTCTGTGTGTTTGTTTCAAAGCTACTAACATTAGTACAACCAACTCTCTTCTGGAGAGGGAGGCCTAGTTACAACTCATCACTTCCCAGATGAAGGGACTAACTTTCCATCCAGCCAATGAAAACTCTTGAGAAAGAAAATAAGAAGAGGGGCTACTATTACACCCATTTTACTTACAGTTGAGAATACTGAGGCTGCAAAGGTTCAAACTGCTTACTCAGGTTTCCACTGACGGTCAGTGCCAGAACTGGGGATGAGCCCAGGTCCCTCTGAGCCCCAGTGCCCTCATTGTTTCAGGCAGCCTGTCATCCCCATTTGTTTGTTTTTCTCCATTTTAGAATTTAGGATTGAGAGGTGAGGGCTACATCCAGACAACAGTATTTAAGTGACATGTTGGCCAGACTCTACTTCTTCAGCAAGTGCTGCAAGGTGGCTGAGGGGTGAATCTTAGTGTGGGCAGTATGGTCACAAGGCTGGAAGTCTGGACACCTGGATTCTGACTCTGGAAACTCCTCCAATTTATCCTGTGATCTGGGGTCCCTACCCCTTGCTGTATCTTTTATTTTCTCATGTGTTAAATGGGTTGGACAGTGCTTAGAATTGCATGTTTACATTATCTGATTAGATATTTTGGACACTATAAAGAAGAAAACTTGTGAGAAGTTCTCACTATGGTTAATCCATCGCCTTATTTACCATGGCCATGTTCGTGCCTTATGTGCTAAACCCTTTAGTGAACCGGAAACAGAAAATAGAATCAATTGCACAAATGAAAGGCTATTTAGGAAGTTGTTTTTCCTGCTACTGTGGTGGTTTCATGGTCAGGGACAGAGGCCTTTGCCCTGTCTCTGTCTCACCATGGCCTTTCTTTCTGCCAAGCCTGGAGATGACGTCACTGCCACCAGCTGTTTGAGCTATCTGGAGCCATCTCCTTGGCAACAGCCACACAACCACAAAGCTGGCATTATTATTTCCTTGGACAAGGTCATATCAAATGGTTGGGAGGAAGTAGCTTGCAGCCAGATGTCTCTCATTTGGGTGGAACCCTCCTGAAGTTTTAGCAGCTCCAGACACGGAATTGCCATTACGAACAGCAAGAATAACTTTTTATAGCATCAGTACATACACGTTGCTACTTGCACTATTCCATTTCCTCCTCACAACACTGTGAAGAGAATTGGGATCACTGTGCTGCTCCACAGAAAAGGAAACTAAGGCTCAGAGGTGGAAAGAGATTTGCCAAAGGCCAAACTTCTTTCTTTCGTTCTTTCTTAGCTTTTTATTTGGAAATAATTTCAGACTTAGAAAAAAGTTGCAAAAATATTGCAAGGAATTTCTCATATAACCTTCACCCAGCTTCCTAACGTATTAACATCTTACCTAACCACTGCACAATTGTCAAAAATAAGAAATTACACTGATACAATACTATTTATGACAGACCTTATTTAAATTTAAGCAGTTTTTTCATTAATTCCCTTTTGCTGGTCTGGGATCCAATCCAGTTTTCCACGTTGCTTTTACTTGTTACGTCTCCTTACTCTCCTCCAATCTCTGACAGGTATTCTGTCTTTATCTTTCATGACACTGACACTTTTAGAAATTCTTCCCATTATCTGATAGAATGTTTCTCAATTTAGGTCTGCGTGGTGTTCCTCATGATTAAATTCAGGTTACGCGCTTTTGACAAGAACACCACAGAAGCGATGCCGTGCTCTTCCCAGGGTACATATCAGGAGACACGCGGTGTCACTGTGTCTCACTAATGGGTGATGGTAACACTGATCTCTTGACTATGGTGGTATCTGCCAAGTTTCTCTACAGGAAAATGACTATTTTTCCTTTTGTAGTTAATAAGAATCTTGTGGGGAGATGTTTGCGGCTTATGTATCCTGTTTTCCATACTTTCACCCACTGATTTTAGCCATCTATTGATAATTCTTACCCAAAACAATTATTACAGTGGTATTTCCCAATTGGTGATTTTCTATTTTCATCACTTTTCTATATTTATTCATTGGAATTCTACCATAAGGAAGAGCTTTCTCTTTCCCCCCATTTGTTCATTTATTCGATGGCTTATTTACATCAGTATGGACTCATGGATATTTGTTTTATTTTATGTGTTATAATCCGTTACCATCATTATTTATTTTGTTACACACATTGTCCTAGACTTGGCCAAGCTGCCCATCTAATACGTGGCTGTGCCAAGGTTCAAACACAGGTGTGTCTGGTCCCAATGTCAGCAGTATTTCTGGCACACCAGTCTGGCCCCTTGCTTTCGAAAACTCCTCCCAAGCAACCCTCAACATCAGCAGTCTTTGCTAGGGACCAGTTCCCAATCAGTAGCCACTGTCTTCTCCATAGCATGCCTGTGTATCAAGCCAGTGACACCTTCTGGGCCCAACATATAGCCCAAGGCTGTACACACAATAGGTGCTTAATACAAGTTTGTCAAATTAACTCCAATTCCTGACTTTTTCTCAAAATGGGACGAGGAATGAGAAATACCCCCATACAACAGGAATAGAATATAGATTATTGAACTAGAGAAGGTAACACACATGAACATGCTTTTACGACCTTGGACCTGCCAATTCAGCTTTCTGGGCCTGTTTTCTTACCTGTATATTGAGTGCATTAGGCTACAGCATTCAGGCCCCTTCAGCTCTCATGTCCCGTGAATAGCTAGCTACCATATACTGAGCTCTTTCTATGTGCCAGGCACCATGTTAGATACTTTACATTCTGTCCTCACAATAACCTCATTAAATAAGAACAGATAATGCTGCAATTTTATAGATGACAAAACTGAGATTCAGAGAGGAGGAGTTGCCTGGCCATAGAAGGGGATCAGAACATGCCATCCCCAAATATGCCACTTTGGCATAAGGATTATTTTGAGCTGAAGGCAACCGAGAATCAACAGATGCGGGAAGAATTCTCGGCCTTCTCCTTTTCTGCCTTAAAGTATAAATTCCCTTCGCTTGGTCTTCCATTGGTTTCTCCCACATATTCACGAGTCACCTCCCCGTGGTTTGCCACCCCTTCAAGCCCAAAGCCCCTTTCTTTTGTCGAAATGGCATAAAAGCCCTCAAGCCTAACCACTTCTTTGAGTTTTACCTCTTTTCTGTGAACACCTGTGCACATAACTATTAATAAAAATTGTATGCCTGTTCTCCAGTTAATCTGTCTTTTGTTCTTTTAATTCACAGCCCCCCAGCTACTGCTGAGCCTGAGAGGCTAGAGAGAAACTTTTTCCTCCCGGACACCATACAAGCAGCTAAGCGGTGGTGGAGGTGAATTTGAACCCAGATTTCATTCTAAAGCCCGTGCTCTCAACCACTAAGTCATAGCTCTGGAATCCCTGCCCTCAGGAAGCTGGTTAAAATGCCTATAAATAATTATAAAACAAAGTAAAACATCTTAAATACTTTGTTGATAAAAGAAAAATAACAGCAAAATTCTAGAGACACACAGAGAATGAGTCATTCCAAACCAGGGGGTGGGAAAGGTGTTTTACAAGACCTATGCCCTGCAAAAGCAGGATAGAAACCTGTACATACCGTATGTGCAGTAACTTCTCGCTTTTTAAGGCCTGTAGAAGAGACAGTACAGGAGGTGGACTTTGGCCACCTGCCTGAGCCTTGAGCCAATGCTTAAGTCTGCTTACAACACTGAACAAAAGCTTTGAAAATGATTAACACCCAGTTTCAGTAGAAGGTAGTTCTGCTTTCTTTAACAGGACGTAGCAACCATTGGAGCAGTGGTCTCCCCGCCCCAGTCAAAGCCAGCACGAACTGGATACTGCCAAGACGAAGCCCGAAGTTGACCACTCATAGACCTTTTGCCTCATTTTAATGCTAAAAATCATGCCCAAGGGTGGAGATTTAACATGCTAATGAGGCATGCAATGTATGAAGAAGCATGATCGCTGCGTAGGCAGCTGCCAACAAAATGCCACCTCTACAGCTATGATTTCAATGCTAGTGTCAAACTTTCTCTTTCTACCCTTTAAAAGTTCCCCAGCCATTTGTTTGGAGAGACGGTCTGGTTGCTCCTTAACCAGCATCATCTTCCTTTTGTTCAAGCAAAGCACTGCCCCGCCCCGCCCAAATAAAGCCTTGCCTGTATAAATTCCTCTTTCGGTCTCGTGCCAATTTCTACTGACTCGGGGACCAAGAACCATAAGGTTGGTAACACAGAGACAAAATAAAATCCCTACTTGACACAACTATTTGCAAAGCCTATGCCACATTCTTCATCCCTTGATGCTCCCTCACAACAGCAACTTGAGGCAAATTCATTATCACTCTTTTATGGATAAGGAAATTGAGGCTCAGAGACATGAACTTATTTTCCCATAGTCACACAGCAAGCTAGTGACAGAGAAAGGAACTTGGACCTTAATTCCTGATTCCCAAAAGCTGATGCTCCTGAGCTTTTTGAAACTTACGGAAAGCATAGATACATCCCAAGGCAAGACGTCCCTACAGAAATTGATCATCCTGAGTACCATGGTCAGATCCCCACCTGTCCAAACCCAGGGGCTGACTACAAGTGAGCCAAAGGCTGCTGGAAAAGTTACCCTAGGATGCCAGGGAGAGCTTTCGTGCACCCTCTCCAGCTGCATATTTGAATATGTAAAGCAGCAATAGCTCTAGGCAAAGAAGGATAATTAAATTCATCAATTGTCCAGACATTTTGCAGAGTAAAAAAAGCGCTTCATGTCTTGTGAGTTGCAGGAGGGGATGGTAAACTTTGCCTCTCCCTTAAATGTAGTGAATTCATGTTGAGAGCGCAGGTCAGGACCTAGGGAAGGGTGAACATATTTGTGGTGGCTGCAGTACCTCCTTCCTCAAAGGGATGAATGTAAGACCCTCTACCTTTGCATTTGTCCTCCTCCCTGTCTGACACACCGCCAGGTACACTGCACAGGTGGTGTCCTGCACGAGTACATCCAGCCATAGGACGGCTGGAGGTTTAAATTCAATTCATGCTCTGGTTCGCAAGCTGTGAGTCCATTCCAAAGTAGGAATGCCTTTTTCTAACTCACGCAAAAGAACTGTATGTGCTAGTGGTTCTAATATTCTAGAATACCTTTCCTTCCTCTTCTCTCTCAAATTCCTAGGGTCCTCCCAGCCACAGTTAAAAGAAAGTTTTGGGGCCAGGCACAGTGGCTCAAGCCTGTAATCCTAGCAATTTGGGAAGCCGAGGCAGGAGGACCACTTGAGCCCAGGAGTTCGAGACCAGCCTGAGCAAGAGCAAGACCCTATCTCTACAAAAAATAAAAAACTTAGCCAGTTACAGTGGCATGCACCTGTAGTCCCAGCTACTTCGGAGGCTGAAACAGGAGGATTGCTTAAGCCCAGGAGTTTGAGGTTGCAGTGAGCTATGATGATGCCACTGCATTCTGGGCCAGGCGACAGGGTGAGACTATGTCTCAAAGAAAAAAAAAGGGGAAGTTTTGGGACCCAGTCTGGGTAGATGCCCCACTCTGGACTCCTGGAATACCTTATCTTTATTGTGACACTTAGCTCTATAATAGTCTATTAATGTGGCTGTCTCTCCTATGATAGTGTGAGCTTCTTGAGACTAGGAGAGGCAATGTTTTTATTTTAAATCGATTTTATTGAGATAGAATTTACAAACAACAAAATGCACTCACTCTAGGTATACGAGTACATTCTGATGAGTTTTGG